GAAAGAAGCAGAAACCGTAGGAGAATGACCTAGAACCTGAGAAAATGGGACCCCTTCCTTGCCCGTTGATTTGAGCATTGATGCGACTCTGTGCCCTCTTCAACACTACGCTCTCTCTGCCTATCTAATCACTCGCCACGTATAGACCTGCGGCGAGTGATCAGATGGTCGGTGGGCGTGCACTGGCCCACCGCGCCAAGATTGAGCCTTAATAGGTCGCCGAGGTCAAATTCTTCGGTGCCAATTGCGCTTCGGACGCACTCTCAGAAGAGTCCGGGTCTCTCAAATAGTGAATTCCTCTTTCTTCGGCCTTCATTCTCATCATGAACTCGTCCTTTGTTTCCCTCATCCTTCGCTTGCAGACCACTGTCGAAAAGAAAATGAGATGCCTGGACAAGATTATAGCTGGTAAGCGGTCAAATGCAGAATTGGCAAGCTTTTGATGTGTGCGATAGGTAGCCGTACATTATTTCTTGTGATATCATATCCCCACGTGTCGCTGTTCTGAAGGTCAAACTACAAAAGTTGGGAAATCGAACGCTCAAAATGGTGCAAGTATATGCGCCCACTATCACGGCGGAGGACGACGAAATCGAACGTTTCTACGAAGAAATAGAGACGGCATTGAAGCTTAAATCGACATACACTATTGTTCAAGGCGATTTCAACGCAGTTGTCGGCTCCCGATTGGACGATACGGAATACCTCATAGGAAGGTACGGTGCGGGAGTAAGAAACGACAGAGGAAACCGTTTGATCGAATTTGCAGAACAACATCAATTCTCAATAATGAACACTTTCTTCGAGAAGAAAGCGAAGCGTCTCTGGACATGGAGAAGCTCAGACACGAGAACTCTGAGGCAAATTGATTATGTGCTGACCGATACGCCAAGATTGTTTGCTGACGTCTCTGTTATAGGGGAAAATGTGATAACGACTGGCTCCGATCATCGGCTTTTGCGTTCGGTGATCCTCTTCGATGCCAAGAAAGAACGTCGAGTTCTGCATTCGCAAAGAACACTCGTACGACAAACTTTCAATGCCGATATGTATGCTGCGATGATAGAGTCGTCAGATCTACACATGAATACCGGAAGCAATATCGATGCCGACTATGAAGATCTAGTGGGAAAAATAACTCAGGCCGTGAAAGCATCGAGCATAGCAATAGAGCCCGCAAGGCGACGACGTATATCGACAGAAACACTGCAGATGATGAAGAGGAGAGCACGCATGAAGGCTGAAGGACGAGTGCAAAATGAGGAATACCGGACACTCTGTGAAGCGATAAGGGAAAGAATCAAGTGCGACTATGAAGGCTACAGACAAATGAAACTTCGCGAAGCAGCTGAGAAAAGGGCTAGCCTGAAAGCTGTAGAAAGGGATATCCGTCTAAGGCAACATATACCCTATGCTCTCAAGGACGATACAGGTGTTAGAACAACCAACCGCCCACGAATGAACGAGATATGTCCTCAAAGGTGGTTGTTGCAAGAACCTACCGAAACGTTGCAGAAGAACCGATCCCAGAAGTAATGTGGGAAGAAGTGGAGAACGCAGTGAAACAAATAAAGGCTGGGAAAAGCCCTGGCTGCGACAACATTCGTCCCGAACACCTAAAAGCAGGCGGACTACATCTATTTAAAGCGCTGGCAGAACGTTTCAGCAGATACTGCCATGAAAAAAGGATACCTGCAGCGTGGAAAAAATCAAGGACGATACTACTGATGAAAAAAGGCGATCCTGAGAGCTTAACTAACTACAGACCCATCACGTTGCTTTCTCAAATCTATAAGACCTTCACAAGGATAATCCTAAATCGCGTAGTCAAAGACCTGGACATAGTCATGAGCCGGGAACAAGCCGGTTTTCGAAGCGGTTACTCCACACTCGATCATCTGCACGTTGTACGTCAGCTCATCGAAAAATGTGAAGAGTACCAGATCCCCCTATGCATGGCATTTGTAGATTACAAGAAAGCTTTTGATTCGGTTGAAACAAACGCGATATTGAATGCTATGAGCAGATATGGTATTAGTTCGTCCTAATGTCGACCTCTTGGAAGGTGACCCGCATTGCCGTAAGCCGAATAAAGCTTCAACTGATTGATAGCGCCAACATAAAAATCTGCAAGGGCGTTCGACAAGGTGATACGCTCTTCGCCGAAATTTTTAATTTGGCACTAACTTCTGAAAGCTTGTTCAGTCGACGGTGACTGCATGCGCTGTTTGCCGATGAATCTGCGATTATTTTGTCCAAGCTTCCTGAGCTCCAACAGATAACACTGTGCTGCTGCAGAAGAAATCAAATGAAATTGGGCTTGAAATGAACTTGTTAAAAACCAAGTGGATGCACAATCAGTTCAGTAATACAGAGGCGATCAATGTAGACGGTGAAACGATTGAAGAAGTGGAAAGCTATAAATACCTAGGACACCAGCTCAGCTTCACTGAAGGCACTAAAGAGGAATACAGTAAACGCAGGAAAGCAGCATGGTCCAGCTTCAACAAAATCTCAAGGGTATTGCTGGACGATAACCTCCCGATGAAACTGAAGGCATCTTTGTTTCACTCAACGGTGATACCTGCGTTGCTGTACGGCGTGAATGCTGGTCGCCCACTAAAGCAGACGAAGAGAAATTTGCTGTGATGCAAAGGTCAATGGAACGCAGAATTTGCAAAGTGTCACTTCGTGAACATATCACAAACACAGAGTTGCGAAGAAGAAGTGGCCTTGTTGATGTTGTCCAGGAAATGTATAATCGTAAACGAGATTGGGCCGGTCACGTAGCACGTCTTAAAGATGACAGATGGACTTTCAGGCTTATGAATTGGATCCCGTTGGACCACAAGCGATCGCCAAGAAGGCCCAAAACGAGATGGGCCGATCCGATGGTGAAAATGCTTGGCCAACAATGGAGAAGACATGCTCAGGACCGGAATGAATGGTTCAAAGTCGACTTGCGCAATTGGAGAAGCTTGCGAGGAGTCGGATGCAGGTGATACAGGTGATGCAGGTGATCTCTCTGATAAGTGACTGTATAAGTAAGCAGTTTGCACATGTATTGAAACATACACCCTCCATCTTAGCACTATTCAAACGCAAACGAGTCCGCTTGGCGTCCCTTTAACATTCACAATCGAATGACGCTTACAGAAACTCGTCCACCGCCACCGCGACGTCGCGGCCACGACCACTAGCGCGGGTCTCCGGACGATTCTGTTGCTACACGGCCGACAAGCGATGTCGCTCCGTCATTGGTTCATCGCGCTGACATCGCCGAGTCTGATCGACATCTAACCCAACAGACCCACCAATTTCATTTGAAAAAGACTTCAGATACGGCAGTTGATTTTTGCATGGAGTTGTCGCATGGGCGTGCCGCTATTTAAGAATCTCATAGATCTGCTCGCGCCAGGCCAACCGGAGTATTCCTTAATGTCAGAAACGTCCTGATGGCGGTGTATTTGTATCCATACACTGCTTTAGAGTGTTGCTACATCCTATTTTGATGGACTTTTATTATTCAAACGTAGAGTAGTGAAATAGTAACAAACAATAAAATAGAGACTAGTGATTCATTCAGTTCACACTGACAAAAATAAGAACACTTCGATTAATGCAGCATTATTGAAATCATAAAAAAATGAACAAACAAGAACACTGAATATAAACAACTAGTGAGCTAACCGTTCCGGCGCAAAGTCCAAGAAATTTTTACGTTCTCTTGTGGGAGGAATCCCCTGAGAAACATGAGTGTTACCAAACTTTTGGAGCTCAACAGCGATCTCTGAATTTGCTCTTCCCGTGGTCTGATGTAAACCGGACGAGCTCCCTCTTCTGTAGGTCCAATTGCGACCTGTCCTACTGTTAACTGAGCTTGGATAAAGATCAGCATTTGCTTGAGGTGCGAGCCCCTCTCAGGAATGCTGCTTTTAACGTGATATGGAAACCTTCGGCCGCGTTGGTTGTTCGCAACCCAACGTTCCTAGAATGGTCCCGCATTTCCCAAAATCAAAATACGCATGCTATCTGACGGCGAGAGACGACCCACAGGAGTGCGAACAGCAAGAATACTCTCTGCCTCTCTCACTCGATGGGTGCCAGCGTGACGCGTGCGTAGTCGTCTGGACTTCTCATCGTGAGAGGAGTCTTGATTAATCCACTGCCCCGTATCCTCCAACAGGCCTGGTTTGTTTACCTCGAACTGGAACTACTATCAAAACGTCTAATTCTTGGAAACGGATCAGATAAATTAACCATAAAACCGAAAGAAATGAGCTGATGCTGCTACCTGTAATTGGTTTAACTCCCATAAATGATAAGAAACTGTTATCATAACTCAAATGAGAGGAAGGCGTGACGCTAACTGAACTATTGTCATAAAGTTGAGTAGCTAGTAAATATAGAAATGATTTGGCCATTGCCTGGTCCACCCGATCATATGCGCTAAATTATGTCAAAGGTAATCAGAAACCGAGGGCTTTGATGACTGACACGGGAACAAGCACTTAGCATGATTGCAGACTGGGACCTGGCTCACTGCTGATTTGAAGGCGCCAGACAGCCACGGGTATATGCCTTCCACAGCCGACACAAAGTCCACACTGCGGCGCGACGCGGCTCTAGCCCATGGCAGTCGAGCATATTTGTTGAGATGTTGTGGTGAGTTATGAGATCTAGCCACTCTCGTGGTGAATTTGAAACTTTTTCTAAAACGAAATTTTGGCATACACCATAGAAGTTCTTATTGTAATTGCACTTTCAAAGCAACTATGTTCTTTCTATTCTCATTTGTTGAAATAATGATCGCTAGCCAAACTGTTTTGCGGTGCATTGTGATGTATTTCAATCCTAAAATTCAATCTCAAAAAATAATGAATAGGCCCATGAATAATAACGAATGAAAAAAGCGTTCACTTCGTTACTCCCCTGACTTGATCGTGCATGAGGGGGCGTGCGCCCGTGAGCCGATATCAGAGGAGTCTTGGCTGCTACTGGCTAAAACTGGAGCGCACGAGTGGAAAGAAAAAGTGATAGGACCAACAGCAAATAACGAAACAGCGAGTCAAACTCTATTCTCCCCGAAGACTCCATTTTTGGCCCTGGTGCCAAATTGACGCCATTGCCACCAGTTTTCGGCACGATTCATTCTCAGCAAATTCGCTCAAATTTGGATGTAAAGGTTATTTCGAGCCCTGATTATTATGGCATCCATCACGGCATAAGCGTTGCTCCACACATATTTCCAGAACTAAGCGATGGGAGGGCGCCTACGGGCGGGGAATAGAAGTCAAATTGTGTCAGCGCCCCGAATAATTACCCATATTTTCTTGAAATGAGTAGTGGCGAAGGCGCCAAATGGCGGCAAGAATGAATGTCACATTCGTGCCATTGAGCCGACGCGCACTCGCAAAGCCCGGCGAGTGTGAAAAGTATGCGAGGGTCTCCGGTGCAAGGACGGCATCGGGGGGCAACTAGGCTAGTCCAAAAGTCCCGCAACGTATGGAAGACTCGCGTTGCAACGTTGAATGTTGGCACGTTGACGGTCGCTCGTGCGAGTTGGTAGAAGCACTGGAGCGAAGAAGAATTGATTTCTGTGCCGTGCAGGAAACGAGGTGGTCCTGCTATAAGTCTTTGATAACCTCCGTAGGACGTGTATCAGCGAAGTTTCTTTTTTGCTGAAAATGATTGCAAGACATGCAAGGAAGTTTCAACACTGCTCAAAAGATTTCCAGAAAAAAAAACATGCAAAGTGTCTCAGAAATCATGTGCCAACCTGAGATTTTATCCCATGATATCGTGGAGTTGACGAGTGGTTGAGCTACCTCAAGGCCCGATTAGTCATTAAAAGGGAGCCGGACGCCAAGGTATGTGTGATCTTTTACTCTGTAGTACATTCCATTGACATTGATGCTAAATTAAGACAGTCGTATTGAGCGCTGAAACGTCTACGCCTCTGACTTCTCGCATCACGACGGGACTCCTTTAGGGTACCTTGGATTCTCACACCCGTCTGAGGCTCAGCCCGGGGTGCCCCCTCCCCTCAAGAAGACCATCGCGCCTAGGAATAGACGCAGAGGACGAGTTGCAGCGCGTGCTGTGCGATATGAGACGTAGTATGGTACACTCTATTTAACCTGACGCCTAACCGCTACAGTATGCGCTGCGACTCGTCCTTTGCCGCGTCTGCGTCTCTTCCTTCGCCGCGCGACGGGCTTCTTGGGAGACACCCCTCAGCCCTTTTAACAAACGGGTTACATCTTTTAGGTACTTTCGAATGCGTTGCCTAGAATACCCCTGTATTTTGTGATAGCTCCCAAAATTCTCTGTCAACGAAATCATCCTTTCACAAGGCATATGTTATTGTTGATGGTAATTACTTAAAGCGACTCTTGGATAATTCTATTAGGTTGGTCCATAAGTCTTGCAACAAATTACATTTAATGCTAGAGAATTTTTGTGAGAACTCCGAAAATCC